GTTTTGTTATCAATTAGAGTTAAATCCGTATTAATTTTATTATTGATTGCACTGTTCTTTGAGACCTTGAAATACTGGAAACAGTTGTCTTTCAAACACATTATAAATTGATTTTACGAAATATTTTGCAAATAATTAATTGTTTTGTTTTAAACACAAGTTTTTACGAAATGTTTGATTAATTTGTTGATTAAAAACACAATTCAATTGTGATTTCAAAATGAGTTTCAAAACTTTTATCGAGAAAAATATCGATCTCTCGAGCGATGAGTCGTTTTGTGTCCTAAAGAGTGATCACGTGATCGAAAGACACGAAGAATGGCAGCGATTGTTACCACGAGTTAAACAATACTTTTCGCTGAAATTCAATTCTTTTGAACCGTTTTTGAGAATTCTGTCAGAATTTGGATTTCATTTCGAAGTTTCGAATCGAGTAATGAATTCGCGATTAAATAAACTTTTTTCTCTAATTTCTCTCACTTTTAGACAGATTTGAAAGTTTTGGACGAAATTGGAGTCAATTTTACGCGCGTTTTGTCGACTAATTGTTGCAAAAGCGACGCATTTGTGGCGGAATTGAAATCTATCGTTTTGTGTCCTAAAGAGTGATCACGTGATCGAAAGACACGAAGAATGGCAGCGATTGTTACCACGAGTTAAACAATACTTTTCGCTGAAATTCAATTCTTTTGAACCGTTTTTGAGAATTCTGTCGGAATTTGGATTTCATTTCGAAGTTTCGAATCGAGTAATGAATTCGCGTTTAAATAAACTTTTTTTTCTAATTTTCTCACTTTTAGACAGATTTGAAAGTTTTGGACGAAATTGGAGTCAATTTTACGCGCGTTTTGTCGACTAATTGTTGCAAAAGCGACGAATTTGTGGCGGAATTGAAATCTCGCGGCATTTCGTTGTTATGTATTGATTGCGAACACGAATTGCAAAGAGTTGTGTCAATACACGCGACGACACGAGTATTGTTGAGAATATGTTTGGAAAAGAACTCGAAATTCGGATTAAATTTGGAATTGATTTCGAATTTTCTGCAAAAATCAAAATCTCTTCGAATAAAAGTAATCGGAGTTTCGATTCGCGCTAACAATGCTTTGCAGTTAGAAATGGCTTTAATTGCGGCCAAAATGGCGTTCGATTTGGGATTCAAAGCGGGACTAGAAATGAAGGTTTTGGACATTTGCGGCGATTTCGCGCGAATTGAAGACATTTCGCACATTATTAACGAAAACATTGAAACGAATTTCAAAAACACGACAATTATCGCAGAAATGAGTCGTTTTTTCACAGAATATGCGTTCGTTTTGTTCACAAAAATCATCGCCAAAAGAAAAACCGCACAAAATATTCACTACTATTTAAACGACGGAATATTCGGCTCCTTTCGCGACGTTTACGTCTCTGACAGACATCCGGAGCCCAACTTTCTCCTCATCAATGATTGGCGCCGACGACCCGTCAATGAGAGCATCGTTTGGGGCCCGACTTGTGACAGCTCTGATTGTGTGTTGCGATCCATAGAAATGCCGGAACTGTTTGTCGGCGAATGGGTTTTGTGGGAAGGAATGGGAAGTCATTGCTATTCGGCGTCAAAGCACTCGTTTAACGGCATTTCTCTTCCCAAATATAAAGTGTTTTCCAATAATTAATTGTATTTTCTTTCATGACGTCAGAGAATAAATTGAAATGTGTTTCGAAAAGAGTTTCAAATATTTGTTATTCATTTTCAAAGGATGTCTGGAATTCTGGAGACTTTTATCCGAAACTTGATTTCTGGCGAAAAGTCGTTTTACGTCTTCTCCGTCGAAGACGTGATCCGAAAGCACGAGAAATGGCGTCAACTCTTGCCTCGCGTTCAACCCTTTTATGCCTTGAAATGCAACGATTTTCCGCTTCTGTTGGATATTCTCATTGGTCTGGGATTCGGCTTCGACTGCGCGTCCAGAGTATGAAAACACATTAATATTGTTGTAAATTTAATCTTTCATTAATTTCATAAACAGCTGGAAATCGAGAATGCGTTGAAAAACGGCGCCAAAAGTGAAGAAATAATTTTCGCGAATCCGTGTAAAAGTGATTCCGTTATTGAATACGCGCTGAGAATGGGAACCGATTTAATGACTTTCGATAA